CCTTTGTGGAGCTTCCTCAGTCAGCTTGTTCTTTCTTGTATTTTTTTCCTTTACATGTACCCTATACTTTACCATTGAGTGGAATATCATTTGGTAAGCTGTATATGTGTTGGAGCGCTCCACTTATTGGTATAAGTCTTTTTGTTACTTAAACCGCACTTACAACTAGAAAGTCCAGAGAATTTAATTTGCTAGCACTATATTTAACCCTGTAACTTTCCAAGACACCATACAACCTGTACATACAGGTACTGTTTTACTCGGGGCTGCCATCAGAAATTTTGGGGCCCCTGACACAGCTCAAGGTCTGGACCCCCCGGTGCCTGCACCCGAGTCCGCCCACAGGGATGCAGTGTCTGTACTGATTCTGGTGTGTGTATAGTGGATGTAGAATGTGTGTAGTGGATGCAGAGTTCGTGTGTTAAGTGGATGCGGTGTGTGTTTAACGGATGTAGTTTGTATAGTGGATGCAGATTGTACATTTGTGTAATGTATGAGGTGTATATTAGATGCAGAGTGTGTGTTTGTGTAGTGGATGTAGTGTGTGTGTCGTGACTACATAGTGTGTGTTTGTGTAAGTATTTAATGTGTGTATAGTGACTGCAAACTGTGTGTTTGTGTAATGGATGTAGTGTGTGTAGTGACTACAAAGTGTGTGTGTGTGTGTGCTTGTGTAGGTACTGCAGAGTGTGTGTTTGTGTTAGGAAGTAGTGTGTGTAGTGACTGCAGAGTGTGTGTTTGTGTAAGGATGTAGTGTGTGTAGTGACTGCAGAGTGTGTGTGTGTGTGTTTGTGTAGTGACTCCAGAGTGTGTGTTTGTGTAAGGATGTAGTGTGTGTAGTGACTGCAGAGTGTAAGGATGTGACTGCAGAGTGTAAGTTTGTTTAAGGATGTAGTGTGTGTAAATTTTAGTGAATATTGTGCGTTTATGTTATTGTATAGTTTGTATAAATGTTAGTGAATAGTGTGTGTAAATGATGGTGTGTGTAAATGCTAGTGTATAGTGTGTGTAAATGTTAGTGAATAGTGTATGTAAATGTTAGTGTATAGTGTGTGTAAATGTTAGGGAATAGTGTGTGTAAATGTTAGTGTATAGTGTGTGTAAATGTTAGTGAATAGTGTGTGTAAATATTAGTGTATAGCGTGTGTAAATGTTAGTAAATAGTGTGTGTAAATGTTAGTGAATAGTGAGTGTAAATGTATGGGGCTGCAAAATGTGGGGGGAAAGCCTACAGGTTTTTTTCCATCCATTAATTGTATTGTTTTACTCCCTGTATCTCACCTGTGGCCATGGAGGGGGGAGATCACATTGGCTGGAGCCCTGGAGCCGGAGGTCCTGAGGAATGGTGCAGCCCCAGCTACCTGTATCTGGGCAGTATATGTCAAGTGTGCTGGGCCCCCTGCAGAATACAGGTAGCGGGGGGCCCGCAGTGCACACATATATAGCGTTAATCGCTATATATGTGTGCACATAGCTAATGTGGGCAGTGGCGTACACACAACCCATGGGGCACCGGTGCGAAAACTGATCCGTGGGGCCCCCCGCGCGCTTACGCTAGTGCATGCAGATACACGTAAAGGACCACTACAGACACCCAGATCACATCAGCTCATTGAAGTGGTCTGGGTACCAGGTCCCTCTAGTTTTAACCCTGCAGCTCTCATTGACAGCCACTAGAGGAGCTTCCGCGATTCTCACTGTGAAAATCACAGTGAAAAGACGCTGAACGTCCATAGGAAAGCATTGAGTAATGCTTTCCTATGGGCGGTTTGAATGCGTGCGCAGCTCATGCCACGCATGCGCCTTTGGAACTGAGAGGCCATTCACGGCGGGGAGATCCCCAGCGCCAAGGGAGTCCGGCGCTGGAGAAAGGCAAGTGCTTAAGACACACACACACTCTCACTAACAGACGCATACACACTAGCTAACAGACACACACTCACTAACAGACGCACACAAACTAACACACTCAGTAACAGACACACAGTAACACTCACACTAACACACAAATTAACACACACACACACTAACACACTCTAACACTAACATACACACAAGTTTTGTTTTTTTAAATTTAATCCCCCCAGCCTCCTCACCTGTGGGAGCGCTGATGGGATTCCCTGGGGTCCAGTGGTGTCATCCGTCGGGCGGGCGCCCGCGCGAGGGAGCACTCTCCCTGGCTGAGTGCTTCCTCTTCAGCTCCCTCGCGCACCGCGTACTAATGCCGAAGCCGGAATATGACATCATCTTCCGGCTCCGGCATCAGTACGGTGCGCGAGGGAGCTGAATAGGAAGCACTCAGGGGAGAGTGCTCCCTCGCGCCCGCCGGGTGACACCAGGGCCCGCCTCGGGGGGCCCTGAGGTGACCGGCTGCTGGGCCCCCCAGGAGAAGAGGCTGGCCACACTGTGTACATACCGGGTCGCAGGGCTGCCGGGCCCCCTGCGACCCCGGTATGTACGCCACTGAATGTGGGGCCGACGACAACGATGATATCATTGAAAGTGATTTTATTTTTTGCATTTTTCACACACAAACGGCACTTACACTGACCATATAATTGTTGTGATACTTATACTTAAATACACTCATATTTGTGTTTCCTGAGTATAACAGTACTCCTCATGTACAGGTTTATGGTGTTTTCAAACGTTAAAGAGTCAAATACAAGGCTTGTGTTTGAATTTTTTTAAATTAAAATTCACCAGATTGGTTCCGTTGCCTTTAAGACTGTATGGTAGCCCAGGAATGAGAATTACCCCCATGCTGGCTTACCATTGGCAAAAGTAGACAACCCAAGGTATTGCAAATTGGGAATTTCCAGTCTCTTTTAGTAGCCATTTAGTCACAAACACTGGCCAAAATTGGAGTTCAAATTAGTTTTTTGCATTTTTCACACACAAACAAATTTGAATGCTAAACTTGGCCAAGTGGCAACTAGAAAAGACTGGACATATCCCATTTGTAGTACCTTGGGTTGTCTACTTTTGCAAATGGTATGCCATCAAGGGGATGATTTTTATTCCTGGGCTACCATTTGGTCTCAAAGGCAACATAACCAGTCTGGCAAATTTCAATGTGTATAAACTGAAAAATGTAATGTGCTATATTTGATCCTGTAACTTCCCCAAACACCATAAAACCTGTACATAGGGGGTACTGTTTTACACGTGAGACATCGCTGAATACAAATATGTGTACTTTATTGCAGTAAAAGCAAACAGTATTATGACATTCACAGTTAAAATGTCATGCAGAACTAAAAAAAAAAAAAAAAAAAATAATCTTAATTTCTCACATTTTTATATTTTATTCATATTAAATAATGCTTCATAGCTAAATATTTGATGTTAAATGAAAGCCCTACTTCTCCTCAATAAAATGATATATAATAAGTCTGGGTGCACTTAATATGAAATAGGTGAATTACAGTTGAACAGACATATAGTCAAATTCAAACTTTTTTTTACGTTTTATTTTGATCAAAACGTGTACATCTGGCTCAGTCTTTAACCCTTTAAGGACACAGCTTCAGAAGCTTGTCTTACGCTTAAGGACATAAGCCATTTTTGCATATTTTGCTGTTTTGCAATTTACATCTCATTTATTGGACCAACACATATTATATATCATTTTTTTAGAGGCAAACAGGGCTTTAATTGATGTCACATATACATAGATACATTCTCATTAATTATAAAAAAAAATGCCAAATAAAATTGAAAAAAATCCTTTTTTTTTCACAGTTTTGGCAATAATAGCATGTGCATATGTCCAGCTTAGAAAAAGTAGTTCAAAATAAATTCATTTATGTGCCTTGATTTTTAGAGTACATCATATGTATAGGATTTCAGCTTATTTTGAAAATTGTGTTTTTTCTTTATTTTGGCATATACATATATAAGAAGGTTTCAAACTGGATGGCTGCCCACTTCCTTAAAATCAACTTGACCAAAACTGAAATTCTGGTCTTTACTCCCTCAAATGTTGCTACTCCGGTGCCTGTCTCCCTTCAAGTCAACGGTGAACTTATGTTCAGTCTATCGCCAAATCCTGCCGCTTACATCTCTAAAACATTGCATGCATCCGACCATACTTAACACCAGATGCGACTAAGGTGCTGGTCCATTCCACCCTCCTTTCTCGTCTTGACTACTCTAATCCGCTTCTCAGTGGTCTTATGTGCTCCCAACTTGCGCCGTTACAGTCCATAATGAATGCGGCGGCGAGGCTCATCTTCTTGTCCGCCCGCACCTCAACCTTCTGTGAGTCCCTACATTGGCTTCCTGTAAGATATAGGGCTCAATTTAAAATTCTGGTTCTTGCTTTCAAATCTTTACATAATGCTACTCCCATCTATCTATCCTCCCGAATACACAAATATGTCCCGTCTAGGCCCTTACACTCTGCTGAAGACTTACATCTGTCTTTTGTCCGTAGTCCCACCTCTGATGCTCGCCTTCAAGACATTGCTTTGCTTGATCCTTCTTGCTACACGCTGCCAGCACTGTTGATGTTTCTTTCGATCACAAGTTGGGGATTTTCTCAACTACCTACTCATTCAGTTTCATCTTTCTAATTTCATTGCTGTGCTGTACCGAAATTGTGGGTGCTTCAAAAACCTTGCCAGTCAGGTGTCTCCAGAGCAAGGCATTTTTTTTCCAGATTCTTTACTTTGTGTATTACTATCCAGTTGTGTATAATTATACTTATTCAGTGTTTTGTGGTATTAAAGTGATAAGACCCGATTTTGAAACACTGCAAGTGATATCTTTTTCTTGAATGCAAGTTCTGACTGTCTTTGCCACTATTTTGATACTTTTTAGTCATTTTATACTTTTCATAGTACACTTTATTAATATTAACACTTTTTTGGACACCAGAAAGGTATTTTCTGACTGGTCTCTTACATCACTTTTATTCTGGTGCAGAAAGTGAGCCAGCATACTTGCAGAATATTCAACTTTCTTAGTTAGCGGAATATACTTTTTTTTAAAAAAAATTTTTTTTACATTCTTTATTTTGGAGCAACATGGTAACAGTACAGGTTAAACATTGGCAGCTGACATGTAACAAGCATCATTAAATTATATAAACCCTTATAACGGGTATTTTTTCAAAAATTTTGTAATGGTCAATAGCATAGGGACAGACTTTGTATAGAGGTTTAGTCGGGGTCCTAAGTCAAGTCCGGCTGGGCTCTTAGCATTGGGCTTGCTGGTGGGGCATTGTTTATGCATTCTGCGTTAGGCCACTAGATCGTGTGGGCATGTGTGTCGATTTTTGTGTTGTGGCTATGCTTCTCTGTTTGGGTATGGCACAATTATCTGTTGTATTATACAAAGAAAAATAGAAAATTTTCATACTAGTTTTAAAATGGAACAGGTTTTTGAACTCCCCAAAGGAGACACTTTTGAAAGTGTTCCAATTTCTTTCTTGCATTTATCGTAAAGAATAACTCCTGTCACTAGAACAGAACAGCTCACTGATGGTTATGGTGCCAGTACTGCATTGGCACTGTCTCAGTGTAGTTTGTCATTTTGTCATATTATTTTAACATAGTTTGAGAACAGATACCCGCACTGTGTATGTCCATTTCGTTCTATATAGAAACGCTTTCATTGCCTGCACTATTAAGGAATTCTCAAATTATCGTAATAAATTATGCTAACAGTTCAGTGGTTTTATCTTTGTTTTTAAATGTCCTCAGAACTCAGAGAAAGCAGTAAATTACCCCAAAAAACATTCTTTGACATGCATCTTTTATATTACATTTTATGCTAGGGTTATTGTAGAATAAGGGTTTTAAGGGACAGTACAAAGTTAGGGTAGTGCACATGGTTAAAGTAGCACTATAGGGTCAGGAACACAAACATGTATTCCTGACCCTATAGTGTTAAAACCACCATCGAGCCACCTCGAGTCCCTCATGACTCCCTAAATATAGAAATCTTACTTTTATTCAAATCTGGAGCTGCTGGCTCTGTCCCGGTTTCCTTCAGACCTGCCCACTGCCTGCTGACATCAGCAGAAGTGGTAGCCTAAGTTAATCACAATGCGTCCCCATAGGATTGGCTGAGACTGACAAAGGGCAGATCAGGGGCAGAGCCAGCATGATTCAAACACAACCCTGGCCAATCAGCATCTCCTTATAGAGTTGAATTGAATCAATGCATATCTATGAGGAAAGTTCAGTGTCTGCATGCAGAGGGAGGAGACAATGTTTGGATGCATTTTAGGCAGCCATGACCCAGGAAGGATCTCTAACAACCATCTAAGGAGTGGCCAGTGAAGTTATCACTAGGCTGTTATGTAACCACCACATTTTCTCTGAAAAAACAGTGCTTACAGCAAAAAGCCTGAAGTTAAAGGACCACTCTATGCACCCAGACCACTTCAGCTTAATGAAGTGGTCTGGGTGCCAGGTCCCTCTAGGATTAACCATTTTTTTTTTTTTTTTTATAAACATAGCAGTTTCAGAGAAACTGCTATGTTTATACTGAGGTTAATCCAGCCTCCAGAGCCTCTAGTGGCTGTCTCATTGACAGCCGCTAGAGGCGCTTGCGTGCTTCTCACTGTGAAAAATCACAGTGAGAGCACGGCGTCCATAGGAAAGCATTGTAAATGCTTTCCTATGCAACTGAATCTTGCGCGGCTCCTGCCATGCGCATTCAGCCGACGCCGCGAGCAAGGAGGAGTACAGCTCCCCGCCCGCGCTGGAGAAAGGTAAGTGTTTAACCCCTTCCTCTCTCCAGAGCCCGGCGGGAGGGGGTCCCTGAGGGTGGGGGCACCCTCAGGGCACTATAGTGCCAGGAAAACGAGTATGTTTTCCTGGCACTATAGTGGTCCTTTAATGTTTCTACTCACCAGAACAAATTCAATAAGCTCTAATTGTTCTGGTGACTATAGTGTCCCTTTAAGGTTTAGAGTGACGGTAGTGTTTAAGGGGGTGTCTTTACTGTGAAGGGAGTAGAGTTATTTCAGCAGCTACTCAGGATTGGAACACCCACTGGGCTCAGGCAGATATTTTGGTACCTGAATTGCACTGAGGTGATCGTTGTACCATTCCCAGTTCACTGTGGGGAATAACGCCACAGAATTAGTTACCTTCGTTGGACTACAGTGTTCTAAAACTATGGGAAGCTCATGTACTATATTTCAGCAGTTTGAATTCACTCTACATCATTTAAATTTCCAAATAAAATATTTATTCTTATAAGGTTTGTCAATAAATCTTAAATTCATATTGCATCAACCCCAAAATCTTGATATTGCAAGGACATTCAAAATTGTTAACTACAAATAGCCCGAAATTACAAATACAGTCTTCATTAAGAACCTCACCAAATTTCAGTGGTTTCTGAGTCACTTAAGAGTATAGTTGGTAAAAGCAGCAATTATTATCCCTGCATTTTTAAAGTTTTCTACCTTTTAATAATTTTAACATAAATGGTATCGGTTTCTCCTGATTCCACAAACACTGCTAAGTTCTGGGGTCAAGAAGGAATTTTTTCCTCGTTTGTTGCAAAATTGGAAGCACTTCAGACTGTGTTCTTTGCCTTCTTTTGGATCAACAGCAAAAACAAATGTGAGAGACTTAACTTGATGGACGCATCACTCTTTTCAGAGATGAAACAATGCAAATATAAAACCAAGAGGTTTGATAGGGCAGCTTCCCTTTCAAAAGGTAACACACATAAACCAGGAAGTTCTCAGAGTACTATCCTAGATTCAGATGGGCACTGTTCTGATCTTAAAAAAAAAAAAAAGTCACCTGTAACACAAGTTCATTTAAAAAAAAAAAAAAAAATTTAAAAATATATATTTATATATTTTATACAAATAGTTGTCTTTTTTTGCTGCTCTAGCTCTCCCTATGAAAAATTTATGGGCTTTTAAATTTTTGTTAAACTTTCATACTTTTCAGGGTTTAAACTTTTTCTCTACATTTTCCAAATAAGGTATGAAGCGCCTCAAATTTGTCCTGACGTTGTCCAAGACACACAGTTGGTCCATGCTGTATTTTTCTTTGCCTTCTTTTCGTATCTGTTGGAGACAGGAATAAAGACTGGGTGAACAAACAGAACAGAATATTTAAAATGTACGTCTGTGGAATAAGAGAACTAGGACTAGTCACTTTTCTATTAATACACATGGCAAGATCTTCTACATGCCACCATAAAACTGCAAAGTTTGGAAATATCTAACCGAAAAAACCCAAAACAAAAGCATACATATCACTACAAGTGGAAAATACCTAAAGCTACTGAACAGGTTTCAGATTAGTTTATATATTACAAAAAAGTAAGTGTATCACAGCAAAGTGCTGAAGAAATAACCAGTCTGGAAATAGTGGTCATGGTTACTGTAACTTGAAACAAGTACTGGTCTATTTTTAGTTGGTTTTGGCTTGTTTGTTTTTTCAAATTTCCACAAAGAAGACACATGCAAATGAGTAAGTAGGAGGTTTATTTATATTTTAATGTGACATGTATTCATTAAGCATACCTTTGTTTTGAATAAAGGTTGAATTTTCTTTAAGTTCTGCAGCAATTTGATCTCTACAGCTGCCTTCTCGGCTACTTCACCATCAGCGTACACATCAAAAATAGCATCCAGTGCAGCACCCGACACAACCAGAGAGGAGTCATTGGTAGCAACTCCAAGGAGAAAGTTTCCAATAGACTAAAGGGGGAACCAAAAAACAGGTAGAAATGATCACATAACAGAATTAAGAAAAAGGGGTCTCTATGGATCAGTTTATCTTATGAAGTGTGTGAAAGTGGTACTGAAATATGCACAAAAACAGGAGGCGGCAGGTACTTTGAATAATCCATTCCAGTACTATCACTGTAAACATGCATGTGTGTAAACTTTCAAATTATTATTTGCGGTTTGGGATTACCCCCTTGTTTGTTATGTTTATTATAGAATCTCTCATTAGCTCAAATATTTGCTTAAATTGTTACACATACATTTACACACAAACCATTAAAACCCCTGCCTCAGATTGATTGGGTTGACCTTGGGCTACCACAATAGCTCTGATGTGTTGAGGCGTACTCCACATGACCTCTGAACAAGTCCTGTTTTATCTGGCACCAAAATATTAGCAGCAGATCCATTAAGTCCTTCAAGTTACAAGGAGTGGCTTCCATGGATTGGATTTGTTGTTCTAGCTAGCAAATTCAACAGTTTTGCTCAGTTGGTTGAAGTGGAATTTGGAGGCCGAGTGTGGCAGGGTGCCTTATCTTGCTGAAAGAGGCCACTGCCATCAGGGCACAGGACTTCCATGAAGGGGTATAGTGGTCTGCAACAATCTTAGGTAGGTAGCACATGTCAAAGTAACATCCACATGAATGCCAGGACCCAAGGTTTCCAAGCAGGACATTGTCCAAGGATAGGGGTCATCATGGCCAATCTGCGGCTACGCAGCCCCATACACAGCAAGCTGCATTGCACTGTGTTCTGACACCTTCATATAATTACTTTTTTTTTTTTTGTAATCTGAACTACAGTAGCTCTTCAGTGTGATTGTACCAGAGGGGATAGCATTCGCTCCCCATGTGCATCAATGAGCCATGGGCGCCCATGACCCCGACACCGGTTTAGCAGTTGTCCTTCCATGCACCACTTTTGGTGCGTATTAACCACTGCATACCAGTAACACCCCACAAGAAAAAAAAAACATTTCAAATTTTTTCTCTCATTGTAGAGCTCTGCTTTATTACCTTCAGTATGTCTACTGTACTCTCTGCTTTTGCCAGGACACTTCCTGTGATGCCTATAATACTGACAGCATTCACCCTTGCACTTGTATTGCTGCTTTGGGCACATGCTTCACCGAGACTGATTATCTGCTCTGGGGTCATACACTGCAAAAAAGAAAACACGAGAAAGGACAAAAAGTAAAAATGTAAAGTTAGACGTAAACTGCAAGGAACAGACTGGAATGCAGAAAGAGGAATACAAAAACCATGTATAAGAATGGCAAACAAGTTAAAAATAGCTTGTTATAACATAGAACAGAGAGGTCACAGAGTCTCTCACAATAGTACAGCTATACGCAAGGATGTGTCAGCACAGGTGTATTATTACACCAGGTTTGCCCCAGTTATGCAAACCTCTTTATGGCAGAGTGGGAATCCACGGCCATTTTAGGCGGGCATGACTGGAAGACAAACCTGGTCACATATTTTAGATACATTGACGACTTTTTTTCTTTTTTTTTTAATCTGGGAGGGCACTGAAAACTCTCTTAACTAGTTTTTATGATACTTAAATCTGAATAATAAAGGCATTGTTTTATCTTGGGAATATAGCCACTCATTCATTTTTTAGATTTGGAAATTTGTATCCAAAATAATCAGATAAATACAAAGACTTTTTTTTTTTTTTTTAAATGTGCGCACCAATAATGTTAGAGATATGTCCAGCTGCCACCACAAACCCTGGCTCCATGGAACACTAAAGAGTCAGTTCCTTCGTCTTTGAAGGAACTGCTCTCACACTCAGGATTTTGAGGAACAATCACATACCCTTTAAAAAAATAAATAAAAAAAAAAAAATTTCCCAAAAAAAACAACTACCCCATCAATAATTTAAACCAAACGATAAAAAGTATTAGAGAAAAAAAAAACCAGACCAGATCTTTTAGAGCAGGCTTCCCCAAACTCCGGCCCTCCAGATGTTGCTGAACTACAACTCCCATGATTCTATGAATGAAATAGGCTGAGAATCATGGGAGTTGTAGTTCAGCAACACCTGAAGGGCCAGTATTTGGGGAAGCCTGTTTTAGAGTATAGAGATAACAAAAACACAAAAAATGCCCCACCATTGCCAATTATTTTTGATTTTAATAACAAAAGTAATGTTATGAAAAAGATCATTAATAAACACTGGCATATATTAAAACAGGATGATACTCTAGCTGGAATTATTCCTGACAAACCACGTTATATTTAGAGGAGCACCCAGCTTTAAATATATCCTTACAAAAAATTACACTAAACAAAATTGTACTACTCCTTCCCTATGCTCCTCCTCCTTTCTGACCAAACCTAAAGGTTTTTTAAAATGCAACAAATGTGTAGTCTGGAAACGTACAGACAATACCATTAAATAAAAAAACACTTCTTTTAAGTCAATCACACAGAAAAACCAAACACTCTATAAAAAAAAAAAAAAACAAGAGTCATCAATTGTAACACAAAAAATTTATATTATTTACTGGAATGCCCGTGCGGGCTCCAATATGTCGACATGACCACCAGAAATCTTAAGACCAGACTGGCAGAACACTGCCGGAATATTACAAAAGGTTATGAGAACCATTCAGTATCAAAACATTTTTTAAAACACGGTAAAAATTCTAAAATAGATTTTAGGGAGCAAAGAAATGGAATGGGCATATAATCTAAAGACTCTTGCCCCACAAGGTCTAAATCTAGACTTTGACCTTTGTAATTTTTTTATAATAATATTGATTATAGATTCTACTAGTGTTTTTCTGACATTTCATTTTTATTCATTTTTACTATTTATTAATTTTTACCCATATATTTTAATTTTAAAAACTCAATCATGTGTGTGTGTGCGCGCGCATGTTATTATTCACAAATGTCAAATATTATAATGTCTCATTTAATCCTTTAGCACCAATATTTCATGTTATTCTATTGTTTTTTATACATATCCCTATATCATTGTGCACTACATATATCTTCTTACGTATAAGCCTTTTCTATTTAGATATTGTTCTACAAGTCTATCAAATCTGTTATTGCATAATTTTTTTAATGTATGTGCCTTTGGGTCCTATGTTTATGCTTCGTTTTACGAATTGTGCAGGAGATCAGTCTACTCTCTGCACTTCCTTTGGGTCTTGATCCAGTGACTCGTTTGAGATATGCTTGCCTGTGTTGTCTGTTCTGCCAATTTGACTAGACAGCATATCGGCAAATGTATCTCTTTGTCGCTATCACCACGAGGTTCCGCCCCCGTGGTGACGCAACGATTCTCTCTCTAACGGCTCAGCTCCCTGATCATCACACATGCGTCCCACCTATCAATGACGCATGCGTTCCACCCGAGATTCTCTTTATACTCTATTCTAAAGTCTCGTTTTTATTAAATAATATTAAAGGACCACTATAGTGCCAGGAAAACTAACTCGTTTTCCTGGCACTATAGTTTTAATAGGTAGGGGGGGGACCTATTAAAACTATAGTGCCAGGAAAACGAGTTAGTTTTCCTGGCACTATAGTGGTCCTTTAATATTATTTAATAAAAACGAGACTTTAGAATAGAGTATAAAGAGAATCTCGGGTGGAACGCATGCGTCATTGATAGGTGGGACGCATGTGTGATGATCAGGGAGCTGAGCCGTTAGAGAAAAAATCACAGTGAGAAGCACGGAAGCGCCTCTAGCGGCTGTCAATGAGACAACCACTAGAGGCTGGATTAACCCTAATGTAAACATAGCAGTTTCTCTGAAACTGCTATGTTTACAGCAGACAGGGTTAACCCTAGAGGGACCTGGCACCCAGACAACTTCATTGAGCTGAAGTGGTCTGGATGCCTATAGTGGTCCTTTAAAAATAACCTTCTATAATATACCCTAATAGTTTACTTACTTTTAACCATGTTGCAAAGTTGAATTTTTATTATGTAACTTTCTAATAAGATTATGATGACGTCATTATGGCAGGAATATTCAAATCTCAATGCAATTAATTTATCCTATATAAACTCATTTGTGTCAGGTCTGTTTTTACTAGTTTCTACTTGAAGAAGCCTGTTCAGGCAAAAAGAGTCTAGAAACCTTAGGTTTGTGATAAAGGAATTTTTTGGCTTTATATACACTTTGGTTGCCATATTCCTTTCTTTGACTATATATTTTATTTTAAATATCCTGACCTGACTACATTATTTTTCATCGCTTAAAAGAAGCACAAAGAATCCTTAGGTGGGGATTATACCACCCATACGCTATTTATCGAGCAGTGAGCCTGCTCAATATACTGTGAGTATATTTCATATTTTTATTTTAAAAAGATACAGTGAGCACTATATTTTATTTCTTTTATTCTGGGTTAGACCACTCTGCTGTTGGACTACCGTACTGTCATATACATTTCAATATCGGAAGTACTTCATATATCCTTGAGTGGGGATCATTCCACACCAGAGTTGGATTTTAGCTCTGGATATTGTGAGTAGTTCCTTATTATTATAATCCTAATATTTAAGTGCATCTATATACGGTACCATTGGAGTCTCTTTTTGTTTCTTCCCCACATGTTCCATTGGACTACAAGCCTACACTCGTGACCATCCTTTTTAACTGCCGTTCCACAAGAACTCTCCCTACTGCTGTGGATCCACTATATTGGGCTAGTGTTAAGTTACTTGGACTATATTTTATTATCTACTTATATAAAGTACTTTTTTTAATACCATCCCTTTAAGTAGCCCCCTTTCCTTTTATTTTCTTTGTATTATTACAAATATTGGTATAAAATAAAAAAAAGTACATCCAGCTTGGGTTCATTTATTTGCATTTCGAATTTGAAATTGGCTGTTCCAAATCTATGGAGGGCTGGTCATGGTCCATTGAATAAAAAAAAAATAAAATAATAAAACACTTTGGAACATTTTATATCTATACAAAAAAGTCCTGCGCTCAAACTCCCATCACTCCTGGGCGGCAGCAGCGACCAGAGTACACATCAGCCCCAATACATACAGTAAAAAAAAAAAAAAAGGTTACCTGCACTCTCTCCCAAATCCCTATATATTTAAACAAATTGAGGTTATTTTGTTTCTCCAGTGGCCATGAGAGAGTTTAGTCCACCTGTCACTTCAAGACAAACCTCTCAGGTGTGTCCTACACTAACCTTTCACCTTGCTTCCTTGAGCTTCTGGAAAATATATCTCTAATGTGACAGAGAAGTTTTTTTTTTTATATCCAGCCCTACATACTTATTAACCCTTAATAAGGAATGTATGGGATGGGCGTCAGCATTGTAACATAGCTGTGTGATACAAAAAGTGAATACAAATACAAAAAAATAAATTAAAATAAATTAAAACAACAACTCCTCTGTTCAAGCTCCCATCACTCCTGGGCAGCAGCAATGACCATAGTACACATCAGCCCCAATACATACAGTAAAAACCAAAAGAAAAAAAAAGGTTACCTGTGCTCGCTCCCAAACCACTATGTATATTTAAACAAAGGGATGTTATTTAATTACTCAAAGGCCGCCCGCCCGCCACATCACATTTTATATCTAAGATTCCCACAAGAGATCTCCAAGCGAACAGTCATTATGCATGCAAACAAAATAAACTTGTTTTTTACGTTTTTTTTTCACAAATGAGTTTAAAAGTTTAGTGGCACATTTAAGGATAACCAGGGCTTGATTTAGACACATACCTGTGGTATTCCTTTGGATGCCATAGTCTGAAGTAAGGCACGTACAGCACTACTTGCTGCTTCCAAAAAATCATCCTTTTTTGGAATATCTAAGGAAAAATTTAAAAGAAAACAACATGTTCAGAGCAATTCATCTGGGACAATGATCATTAATTGGGAGACTCTTCTCTCAAACGCAAAAACTTGCAATTAAGTCTTTCTTTTTAGTAAATGTGAAAACAGATGGAACATTTTCGCTATATTCAAATTAACCTCCCTACAGTGCTTTATTGAAGATCCCCACTCATTCTCAAACATCCTGTTCAGAAAGAAGCCAATTTTCCATCAAAGCAATCACTTAGGGGGCTTTGGTTCTGCAGATCTTGCACCACAACACATACACCACAAAAGTCAGCTGAAGCAAATTACCCTGTTTATTAAAACATTCAATCAAAATATCACATATCTGGGGACGTCATTGGCGTTAAAAACAGGGAAGCTATGGGATAGGTCAAACAAAAATGGTTACATTTTCCTCTTTTAAAAGCTTATGAAATAAGGAAATCTTATGCAACATTGTGTTGTTTCTATTGGGAACTGTTACACTAATAATACATAGTCAATGATATGCCACTCACTAGCCATATCATCATTAGTTTTTAAAGGACCACTATAGTGCCAGGAAAACATACTAGTTTTCCTGGCACTATAGTGCCCTGAGGGTGCCCCCACCCTCAGCGTCCCCCTCCCGCCGGGCTCTGGGGAAAGGAAAGGGGTTAAAATCTTACCTTTCTCCAGCGTCGGGCGGGGAGCTCTCCGCCTCTGTTCCTCCTCCTCGTCGGCTAGCTGCGCGCGCATTCAGCCGGTCTCATAGGAAAGCATTTACAATGCTTTCCTATGGACGCTTGCGTGCTCTCACTGATTTTCACAGTGAAAATCACGCAAGCGCCTCTAGTGGCTGTCAATGAGACAGCCACTAGAGGATTTGAGGGCTGGATTAACCCATTTATAAACATAGCAGTTTCTCTCAAACTGCTAGGTTTATTAAAAAAAGGGTTAATCCTAGAGGGACCAGGCACCCCGACCACTTCATTAAGCTGAAGTGGTCTGGGTGCCTAGAGTGGTCCTTTAAACCATTAGTTAGCTGAGGTATAAGGAATATTCAACACCAATTATTAATGAAAAAGGTAGAAGAACAACAGTCTAAAAGGTAAATTTACAAAAGCCGGATTATTTACTAAACTAAGAATTCAAAGTGAATTTGAAATTTAATGCCAGACATTATAAAAACTGAAAGCAAAAATGACTTTGGAGAATTTTGCCAGGTTAGTTTTATTATGCCTTAAAAATCTTTAAACGTGTGTGAATGTTACCCACCTGATTGAGTGAAGACTACCCCAGAGAGGTGCAGAGCCAGCTCTTGTAATGCAGGGGCCCCTCCCAAGTCTTCTATGTCGAGCATAGACAGGATATTGTGCAGGCAGGTCAGTGCTCGGAGCTGCACAGTGTACATCCTGCAAACACAACCAAATAGAATACCTGATCAACCAGCACAGCCTAAAGAATCAAAACAATGACAGGACCTCATATCATGTACACAGAAACTTCCTGGCCAAAAACCATGCCAGAATCCTCTGTTTGTTTTTGTTAAGGCATTTGGAAAAAGGAGAATTTTGAGACAGCCCCTTTCCCAGTCGTAAGGGGGTGGAATTTATACTTCTGCATTATCAACATCAATTCACCTCCAACACTCGCTCAGACGAACATGAGATTTACAGTAAGTTAGTGTAAATTCCATGTCACTCAGGTAGCCTGGAGACCGAGTGGTCTCTGAATTTCAAGGAGACCCCATTTTTGACAAACCACTTACAGACAGTTTGACAAAAATAACGGAGGTACCCATAGACTCTTGGTAACATAAACGCTTGATGGAGCTGTAGTTGCCATGTTCCTTAGAGTGTAAAAGAAAAAAAAGCATGCACAGATAACAGAAATCCTAATGATTTAACTGCTCTATACCTGGACCCAACGTTTCCAAGCAGGACATTGCCAAAGACATAACACTGCCGCATTTGATGGATGACGCCTTATTATATGCCAGCAGAAAGGCAACAGAAAACCATAGCTAGTGTTTTTCTTTTGTGCGTTTAAAATTTAAAAAACAAAAACCACAATTTTAGAAAAGGACACTTAATAGGCACACTACAAAAAAGGTATGTTCTCAAAACAAATAAATCAAAATGTGTTACTTTGCAATTAACGGTTTCCATGCTGAAGCCTGTTTGCAGATCTCGACAGCGGAGCTACTGGGAAAAGCAGTCTTTTCAAAAACCTGAAAATAAATTAAATGAACAAAATATATGTGTGAATTTATTTTCTCTTTTTTTAAAGAATTAACCAACACAAAACAAAAATTTAAGTGCTTAATACAGAGTTATCTATGTATTTCAGACGATGTTATGCAAGCTCTGTCACATTATGATTTATAAATAATGTAGCAAATTTAGAAGGATCCGGCCCTTGTGGACAAACTTCCTGAATGATATAATGATGCTACTCGGTAGTATAAAAAGATCACTTTACCTTCTTTGGAATAGTGTGGTTCAGAAGAGCAGAATGAACTTCATCGGACAAGCACAATGGTGTTAGTAACTGGCCTCCACTGTTGGTCACAGAATTCTCAATGCACATCTCACTCTCATCACTGCTTGACATTGCTTCCCATTCATCATCTGAAGGATCTAAAGGGCAAACATTTTTGTCCTGTTACATGAATTGTCCATGAAAACATGGCTAACATATGTATAATAGATTATAAAAGTGCAAATTACATCTATTCACACACACAAAACAAAACACACAAACCTTCACTGCAGCACATGTTGACTATCATCTCTAGTGCAGTTCTTTGTGCCACCAGTAAAGCTGAAACTTGCCTCACCTCTTCATTTGCAGGCTAATTTAAAAAAAATAAAAAAATAAAAAAGAGCAGATACAATATAAAAAATAAATAAACAAACAAAGATTAAACATGTTATTCAATGGACAAAACAGTCTAACATTAACATCCCAAAAATGCAAAGAGTTTAGACAAAACACCTACAGGGCTATTCACCAAATTGCAAAATCAAAGTGAATTTCAAATTCAAGGCCAGAGAAGCCACACGGAAAGCATAGACAATTGCTCCATGTCAGCTATTTTTACTTAAATTCAAAATTATACTTTGTCATAATGCCAGATGCTGAACAAAGAGACAGGAAACATGTAACAGCCTAAATAATCAGCATGAGAATAGTCATGACATCTATGCCCCTTTCAAGAGATAAAAGGAATAATACACACACCATAACCACTAGCAGCACAGCCACTTTTAGATTTATGCAATTTTTCTGGCTCGCAGAACCAGCACAATTGTTACAATACTTTGTGGATGGTGTGGGGGGAAAGATGAAAAACTAAAGTATGAATCTTTTTGAAGGGACCGGAGAGAATAGTAATATCATGTGGACTCCTAATCCCACAATGGCAGCGGCTTTGGTACAAAAGGACTCTTGTTTTAAGAGGCAGTTAAATGGGAAAGTTCTCTGAACTTACCTTTAGAAATCAAACAGGAAACAACATCTACTAAAGTTGACATTATAAAGGACTTACATCAGTTGTTTAAAGCAGACATGGTGGTTTTTAAGTCAGAGGACCAATGGATCGCACATTGAGGAATAGAGCTAAGGTGGTTAAGGAAAATGTTGTTCTACACATTCATGGCAATAAGATTTTTATGGGTGGGAAGCTACAACATTTGTTAGGCACCTAATCAGCCACATTGGAATAATAAGAGAATGAAGCACAATGCTGAAACATGTGAGACAATAAGTGAACTGTCATATTGTCATAGGAGACTTCTATCCTTCTATTCTTTCTCCTATGATTTGTAGGGCCCTTTTGGGTGGGATTTATACTCTCTCTCTCCCCTTGCAAGTCCATGGAATTGCCATGAGGGGTGTTAGTCTATTACCAAAAATAAATAAATAAAAATAATAATAGAACAGTGTCTGCTGTGAGGTACAAAACACCACTCACATTTAAACCTAACCAACTCACTTTTTACTGAATGGTGAACTGATTGCACTCTGGAGTTGACTGCCGATGAGTTATACCCAGATATCTTATCATGGAGAAAGGTCAGAGTGACACAGGTTCTCATCAACATCAGAAGCCATTACAAAATCATTATGACTTTTAAAGCAGGTCACTTCGGAGGCTACGTAAGTTTCCTTGCATTCTTATGAAAGCGCTTTTTTTTTTTAATGCTATTTTCTTCCTCTCACTAGCTATAGATTTTAGAAAGTGTAGTTATCAGTCAATGCACAATTTTATTCCTAACAGCCACAGCAATTTCCATTACCAGGTCTCTTCTGCCTTATGATTATTGCCCCTGTGTTATGTCAAAAAATTATAACCAGATTTAAGAGAAGTTGACCTGAGACATAAACCACAAGGTGTCAAGCATGTTTCTGCAGGGCCCAGGATAATGGATTACATTTACCAATGGCCAACTAACCAGTAAAAGAGATTCTCTCTTTTTTAATCCATAACTAAAATGGACATTTTAATATTCCATTCTCTATTCAACCAACCACCTGTGTCCAACCATTCCAATAAACCTATCTCACAGTAACAGCAAGCTTTCTGTATGGAACCGTATAAAATGTTTCGGCATACTACAAGTAGATTGCATCCATTAGATAACCCTGATTTATACAATTTCCCATGGAAAAAAAATAATTACGTTTGTTTGACATGGTCTAACCTTCTGTTTAATATTTTCTTGACACCTTTGTATCATGGATGGGGTTAGTGGAGAGACTTTAAAAAAGATCTTTTTAAGAAGAAGAAACTAAAGCCAAGATCGCTAAAAAGTACATTATAGGAAAGATCTAACCTCAGAAAGACACAAAATAATAACTGCCAAAATGGTAAGAGTGTCATATTGATTTACTCACTGGAATGAAGTCAGAAATGTCATTTGGTTTCTTTTCTTTAATTGCACCATCTATCATCCCATTTTCCTCATTCAGTGTGGCCTCTTCAAGGATTGCGGCTGCTTCCTCGGTTTCGGCCTCTGCTGCAAATGCACTTAAATGTTGGGTTTCTGTCTCTTTCATCTCTGCTATGAATACACCTGAATCCACGGACAGGACTTCAGCGAGAATCCTTAAAATTGCATTTATGGAGTCAGCCTGACTGGAGGAAGGAATCTTCTCTTTCAGATTCCAAACAGCACCTTGGAAATTAGAACAAGCATATTTACCATATGCAAATTTGAATTGTTTGACTTAAAGTAGAATAGTAGGAAGTACCTATTAAATAAAGTCCATAATTATCACAAAAACCACCATAGAAATGAATACATTTATTCAATACACAGATATGAACTAGCCAGCAATAAAATGATTAACTAGGTAACATTACTTGTTTGGAGTAGGTGTTGCTGGTTGGTAAAAAAAAAAACAAAAAAAAACAAAACACAACAGACTAGGGACTTCCTCTCAAAGATACATGATATGCCCTTCCACATATACTGAATTGAAACCATCTTAAAAGCCACCCTATTTCCAACCCTACAATGTTCTAGAAGTTAGATTAGAACACCAAATCGTTACGTCAATTCAGAGTATTCTAAAACCCTACACCATGTTGTATCAACCCCATACAAGTAGCGTTCACCCCAAACCTGAATCCAATGCAATATCCACACACAGTGATGTAGAATTTTAAAAATATGCATTGTCCCAAATTTTGCAATGAGAGATTTGACTTTGTTCTTAATTACTTACGTGGGCTCAGGGCCAATAATGGACATTTTATGCAGTGCTCCTGGAGAGTTTTGTGATAAATGAGACACATAACTTGGCAATTTCATTTCTTATTCGCTGATGGTCTGACTGATGTCAGACATCTGCCAGGATAGACTTTGTTGTGTGGAGAACCCCTCTATCTAGCTGGTTTAAAGAATGGTGGACTGAGTCGTGAATTTTACTAGTAGCCATTTGTGGCATATTGTGTTTGCACATACCTTTGAGTCTGTGTAATATTGTGCGAGTGTAATATATGGATTTTTAGTAAATATCATGAGTTCTTACCAATATTACACCATATTTCTGTTTTCTATTTCTTCTTTTATGTATATGTCATTGAATATGTGAAGCATTTTATGTGAGGTATTGTTGGTGTGCTACCATTATTCCCTTATTTGTTCCTCGGGCTGGGCACATTAAAAAGTTATGTGCACAGGAGGTAGCAATAGCTATCAAGACTATTTCTATAATTCAGATATAAGGTATATCTGAGGTATAGTATAGAGAAAATGCAATGTTTACACTGCAGCAGTAAGTCTACCCTCAGTTGCTGTCTACCAGAGAGCCACTAGAGGGCTTCCTGGTTTCAAACGGACCTTACGTCCAGTATCTTGAGGAAGAGAGCATGAGGACACCCAGTGTCAGATTGTTCCCCATGGAAAAGCATTGATTCAATGCTTTCCTATGGGGAGGTCTAATGTGCGTGCATTAGAGTCCGCTCGTCACAGGCTGTCGGAGGGGGCGGAGCGTCAGCCCAACGCCGAGTGACATCAGCATTGAGATTAGGTAAGTGAATAAAGGTTTATTTAACCCTTTATTAACCAGGGAGGTGGAGGCGCAAGGAAGGGGGGGAGGCACTGTACCAGGAATACAGATTTGTATTCCTGGCACTATAGTGCAATAATCACAATCTGATAAGAACAGAAAAGCAAGTTCAAGTCATTTACAGAAATTCTTCTGTATGTTAACCTCTTTGGTGTCTAAAAAACCAAAAACAAACAACTTTCACAGAAAAATTACAGAGATGTGCTAATACACATTTGACTGGCTGAGGTTGTAGCCACAATATTGATAAAGATTTCCATTTACCAGCAACTAATGTCTGAAGGTGTCTCATTTCCATGTTGCCAGCTGGAGATAACAGCACAGACTCCAGTGTCTTCAGAGAGTTGGCATCAAAAGAGGCCAGCAGCTCAGGATTGTCTTCTGTGACCGTTTGCAAACAATATGCTGTGATAAAAACAAACAAAAACAATGGAGACCAAAATATAAATACATCATAATGCAGGAAAATAAGAAACCGTTAAATGCACTATTGCATAGGCAGACACATAGAAATATTTAACTTCATAGACACGTCTTAAACGGTTTTAAAAAAAAAAAAATGGCTTTTCAATTTTTTTTTTTTAACCACTTAAGGACACATGACATGATTCCCTTTTATTCCAGATGTTTGGTCCTTAAGGGGTTAAAAGGCTATATAATAGTCTTGCCTCTCCTTATCTTCCCTTTCAGTCACTGGATAACAAAAAAAAAAAAAACAACTCATCTTAATTATGAAAAAATATACTACTTTATGTGTTATACAGTTGCAAGAAAAAGTATGTGAAAAAAAAGGCACAGCACACCAACATCAAAACCTCATCCCAACTTTGAAGTATGGTGGTGGGGGCATCATGGTTTGGGGATGCTTTGCTGTGTCAGGGCCTGGATGGATTGCTATCATCAAAGAGGTTAAAATGTGACACACACACACACACACACACACACACACCATTCCTCCTGTTCCCCCCTGCTGTTCACAACCTTGTGTGTGGTGGAAGAGCACATAAGAAAACATAGCATTTGGGGGGAGGCTAGGTCTGTCTGTCTGTGTGTACATTGTGCAGCATCTCATTTCTATACTTCCATAGTATAATACTTCAACATAATGCTCACCTGCTGAAATAGCCAACTCCATGTTATTTGGGAACTTGCTCAGACACTGAAGAACAATTTCAAGGCAGTTTTCTTTGTTGAAAATTGTTAACGCTGTACTGCTGCTTTCACTACACAGACAATCAGAAAGAAAAAAGGTAATCGAAGTATTCAACCACACAGCTTAAAATGAGCTCATATTTGATTTAATTTCAGATACACAATATAAGGAATGTTGCTGTACTCCAAAGCAGCATTCAATAGTGTACGTGTATAATATGTAACAGGGTTGTGCAACAGTTATCCCACCAGATGATGATGTTCTACATTTCGAAACATACTCTAGCAGTCAATATTTTATAAGAATTCGATTTAAACTAGCAGCTGGGAAGCCATGGGTAGATTTATAGTAGGGATCGACCGATATTGATCTTTTAGAGCCGATACTCTGAACTTTCAGGCTGATAACTTACCGATATTCTGTACATTTACCATTTTGAAAAATTAAATCATTTATTTTCAAATAGTTTTTATTGCAAGTTTTGCAAATTTTACAACAAATTATAAGAACAGTGTAATAAAGGAGGGGAAAAGAAGGAGAAACTTGGAAGGAGGAAAGGGGAGGTCCATCCAATGTTACAAATCGATAAAATAATGTACAAGGCATTTAAACTCGTTTAATTTCAACTTCCCATAAATCCCAATGGTATTTTAGTGTAGCAAAGATGTGTGAGTGGTTTCTGTGTGACAGTTCTTGTGACTTATTGTCTATGACCAGCTTTAGCACTTCTTTAATCAAAGGAGTATGTTTAATTTTCCAGTACCTAGGTAAGCACGAAGTGGTGGCTATCAGGATGTGGCCTATTATTATTTTATTAATTCTGTTGACGGACTCAGGGAATGTGCTGGGCCTCCCAGGACCGCCAGGCTTGTAATGGACCCGGCGGACCTGGTATGCATTATCGGCAATATTGGTATATTTATTGGCAGATACCGATATTGCCGAAAATACCCAATAATCGGCCAGATCGATAATTGTCGATCCCTAATTTATAGGCAAACAATATCAGATGCAGGAAAATGTAAAGACTGTCTCTGCTTTTGTAATGACTGGTGCTATGCATGGATATCCATGCTCAGCACCAAACACCAAAGAGACAGGAATAGCATTGTTATTTGCAAGCTCTAGTCTCAAGGAGCAGGACCTTCAAGTCCTACCAAGTCATAGACATGAGTTGTTAATTCCCTTATATAACAGAAGCTCCCCTTTCATAATAGATGCTCCTGTTGCTGTTCCTTTTATGCTACAAAGAACACGTAACCCACTTTCTGATCATCTCAGAAATGTTGTAAAAAGACTAGATGCTAGTTTAAGGGATTGAGCGCTAGCCACCTGGGTACAGATTATGGGCACTTCTATGGACTCAGTCAGCACACGTGTAACCTATAACATTGATTTCATTTGGTGCAGCGCCATCTGTTGGTTGAAGGGTACCTTGCTGCAGTGTTGTGCCTAGATGTTCAAGTTGAACAGTTTGCATACTGTATATTGATATGCCACAGGCATAATGTCATGGGTTGATAAATCAGTTTTGCACACCTAGCACTACTTACATTTCGAACCACAAATGGAATGTAGAGTCGTAAAATACTAGTCCCAGTTTAAAATAAAGAATTTGACAAAAGATTCTTTAGAAACAGCAGTTTAAGCCTGGTTCTTTCAGATATTCCATTGACGAAGTTTAGGGTTGCTTTCTGGAGACAGTGAGGACTTACTACAGAGTCTGACAACCTGTTAGCATAAAGCTATTATTCTGGCTGAATGTGTGTTTTGGGAGGAGGCATGGAGGATGCACGAGTAGACGGCAAGACCAAGGAAGAATGGGCATTTGATATAAGAGGGCAGCTCTGGATACAGAGCTTAGGACCAGTCACACCCCATTCCTGCTACATCAACGCTCTCACAGAACTTTAAAGCCCTACTTTGTTGGTTTGTCAAATTAAACAAAATAAGCTTACAGTGCTCACAGTGATTCAAAAATAAGTTAAAAATATAAAGACATCTGCAGAATTTTAAAAACATATGTACAAATTTTCTGCTGTTTGAACGAAAAAGCAGGTTTATTTTAAAAGGGTTGAGGGGAAACAACAAAAAATATATAAATTCTTACCAAACATTCCAAAGTACATTAATAGCCTGGATTGCAATGTCTTCCACACATTTCTTTGACAGGTCTTTGGTTTTTATTGTAGGCTCCATATTTGCATCTAAGCCTGTAGTGCACTGTTTATAAAATCATAATAAAAATAAAAGAGTTTAAAAACATATCTTTATTTTATTCATAAACACAGAACAGTAGTCAAATGTTGGTATCTCAGTTTGTGTGCACTAACATTCAAACAATGCTGTATGATTTGCTGCTAAAAGCAGCCCATTTGCTATGCATATCTACCACAACCATATAAAGCAAGCCAGATTATAATCAAATCCCATTGATGGGTTAAATCAATTGCTTTAATACAGATCAAGGGTATTGGACCTTTAACACTAAACCCAACAAAGGCCAAGTCACCCTACAACTCTGTCCTAACGGTAAATGCCTCACCAATCTGACTTTTACTTTGCTAACACACTATGGAAAGTGCAAGCAGGCATGTGAAGTCATTGTTTTAGGTATATTAGGACCTACTACTATAATTTCCAAATCTCCCACACATTATGTGTGCAGTGAATGTGCATCAATTTCAGTCTATCCAATTTTCCTCACCCAGAAAAGGGTTTAAAAAACAAAAACAAAAAAAACACCACACAATTGCCTAAACATTTGCTTCAGATACCAAAACTACATTTGGACAATTTTACCCCAAAAATGCTTTGCTTCACTTACACAGTAGATGTAGGGCATCCACGAAGGAGCCATACAGCAGTGAGAATGTGGGACTACACTAGCGTCCCTCTATGTCCTTCCCCTTTTACCCCTTCACACAGTTAATTTCCTTACAAAAGCTAGATAGCACAGAACAGAAACCTGAAAATTTATATATAGACACACAAATAAGACTACACTATTGGTGATGTATGATTGTGCAATAGTGTGCATGGACATCTTTTAATGCTTACACTTTAAACGTTCAATAACACATAACACACAAATTTTGGAAGGTGCTAAGAGCAATTATTTTGCAGAAGAATATAGCATACCTCTTTTAGCAAAGCCACCAATGGAGTCATGATGTCCCTTGTTACCATGTCATCACATACATCATACCCTCCACAAGTGCTCAGATTCCTAAAAAAAAAAAAAAATCAACTGAATGCATTAGCACAGGAAGCACACACCACCAGCTTATAGCTGTTTTTGTCTTTTACCGTAAGGCACCAGCAGCAGTCTCGCGGACAGACAAGCATTTATCAAGCAGCAATGGACCAAGGCATCGGACTGCATCTCTCTGAAGAAAGGAAGGGATAACCTGTTTCTGTTGGACAAGGGTAGAGATGCTGGCACATGCAAACTCCCTTACTTCTGCAGAAGGACTTTGGAGCTGGGAAAGAATACAGATGATTTTAGCATTTTGGAGAGTTTTGTAAAGCAAGGTGTAAATATACATGAAATGTCTGTGCAGCTACTCTCTGCAGTTCAGCTGGAATTGGATAAAGATGAAATACTGTGGGGTGTATTCACTATACAGCAAACTATAACTAATTAAAATCAAAATTGCAAGAATTAAAGCTAAAATATCTAAGCTATGAATATTGGAGATTTTTGCCTTAAACATTGCCACTTTTAATTTGCTTCATAAATAAAAATATTTTACCTTTATCTGTAACTCTACACATTTGCTTTAATTAAAAGAAAATATATAATTTGGATATTAAAAGAATAAAACACCATGTTACCTTTAAAAGGGTCATTTTAAGCACCAAGACCACTACAGTTAAGTGTAGTGGTCTTGGTGCTAGAGGGTGCCCCTGCACTGTGACAAATGTATGGTTTGGCATCAGTGTGCCTCTAGTGGGTGTCCATCAAACTGCCACTTGAGGCACTTCCTAGTAAAGACTAGAAAAATTTAAGTTTTGTGTCACGACGATGCCGGACAATTTTAAGTTTTCCTTTAGAAAAACAATGTAATGCTTTTCTATCAGAATAATTCTATTGGCGCAGAGCAGCAATTGTAGTGCATGTGGAATAGTGAGAACATTTCATCTGTCAGTGTTCTGCATGATCTCACACAAAAAAGGAGCAGCGGTCACAGCAAGACTGACATACTGCTAGAGGAAAGATAAATGTAACTTTTTTTACGTTCGAAAGGGCTTGGGGATCTAATAATACATATTTGTGTTTATAACATTAAAGTATTCCTTTAATTATGCATTTGTGCAATTATTAACTGACTGAGAATACCGGTAACTGCACTGAAACTAGACATCACTCAAGCTGCACAAAATTGAGCGACCACCTAGCGTATTGCAATTTTCCTCTACAGTGGGGAAATAATGCACGGTCTACCTCCATGCAGTTCAGAAGCCATAATCAGTACAGATCAGGTCATACTGACTACCACTAATCTTACATAGATCTCAATGCTGCCCTAGCACTACCCAAAATGAACACTCTAAACCTACATGACCTTAAAGGTACACTGTAGGCACCCAGACCCCTTCAGCTAATTGAAGTAGTCTGGGTGCTGTGACCCTTTTGCACTTAGTGTTGCAATGTTAAACATTGCAGTTCCAGAGACCTGCAATGTTTACATTGCAGCTCTAAGTCTTCCCTCTGTTGCTGTCTACCAGACAGCCACTGGGAGCGCCTCTGGAATTCAAACAGACTTTTGGTCCGTTATCTGCCATTGGACATCCTCACGGACCTCCAGTGTCAGATTTTCCTTGTAGGAAAGCATTGTATAATGCTTTCCTATGGGGAGGTCTAATGCGCTCGCAGCCATTGCCCCACATGCGCATGATGCTGACGTCAGCAGGGGAGGAGCCTGGCCCAGCACCAATTCAGGTAAGAGTCTGAAGGGAATTTAAACCCGCGGGAGGGGGACCTAATAACCCTATAGTGCCAGGAAAACGGCTTTGTTTTTCTGGCACTATAGGATCCCTTTAACGCGGGTCTGTCACTTTTGAGGATATCAAATATATAATCTTTATGAAATACTCATCAAGACAGTGTTGGAATGTCTTTGGAATTCCAACAAAATTCCAAAGATACCAGAAGACAAAACAGGGACTCCATTGTCTTATGGTAAAGCCTGAGGAGACAAAAGCTGACAAAAGGTGGAACTCTGCTGTCAAATATTGTCAAATCCCACCTGCTATAAGTTTCAGTCTCTGTCTATGGAGTATCTCACGAAATCAGCATGTGTCAGAGTACAACACAGACACACGGACATGGCTCACTGCAACTAAATCTCCAGCAGCTGAAGAGAACAGCCGCTTAAGAAATGCAGCGACTGTGAGGGACAGCCTGAGATAAATAAAACTCACCTCCCCGGCATGCCGCAGCCACTGGACCTGTCAGTTTTAAATCTTTACGAAATGTGCAAAGACCCCAGTGACTGATAGATCCGCCTTAACAGACTATTATTATTGCCATTTATATAGCGCCAACAGATTCCGTAGCGCTTTACAATATTTTGAGAGGGGGGATTTAACCATAAATAGGACAATTACAAAAAACTTACGGGAACAATAGGTTGAAAAGGACCCTGCTCAATCGAGCTTACATTCTATAGACTACTTCTAACTTCAACAATTACACACTGATCCAATCACATAAGATGTGTATATTGTGGGATAAATGACATTTTATCTCATGTATAATAACACCTATAGAACTCGCCAATTATGTCCCAGTATTGTTATAACTGTTATTTTATTTATTGTTATATGCATTTAGTGTGTATTCTTTTCTCAATATTTAAGAACACATTATGAAAAGTATTAGCTATCCTTTGCCACTCTGGTATGGACTGCATTTCCCTTAATGCCCAGCCAGCCACTGAGCTGTCTGAGAGTGTTGGGTAAAGTCAGACCATAACACGTGGTAGCCATAGTTTGCAGAGCATTGCTATAAAGGGATACTACCTCCCCCATACATGGACTCCCAGCCATGCTTCCTATCCACTGTCTGTCTCTCCTCTCCAACATGAGGTGTGTGTGCTCACATTCTGCAGGAGCTCCTCGGCATCCACATTCTTCGCGTCTTCGGTATCGCCGGACCTGTCAGGCTGCTTCTTGGCTGCCACAGTGGGAGAGAATGAAGGAGGCTTAAACTTGCGAGCCCGGCTCTTCCCCATGATCATTCAGCACGGGGGAGCTTCAAGTAACTTTATTGATACACTACAACGGAACAAAAGAGCAAAGCTGTTTTTTTTTTTTATTGAAGCTTTATGAACAACAATTCAAAGAACAGTGCGTTGGGAGTTTAGACAAGCAAACACTTGCTGTTCATTTTAAGCTCTTTATGCATGTTCCATAAAAAAATAAAAAAAATATATATAATTACATTTGTAGTTGTATTTGTATATACATGCATATGTTTGTGTAGATATTTGTGTGTGTATATGCATATTCTGGATGCTTGAATACAGATATATTTTTAATTCCCCCATTCTAGTACCTTCTCCTGTCCTGTTTTATTGTTTCTTTTCTTTCTTTCTTTTCTTTCTTTTCTTTTCTTTTCTTTTCCTTTCTTTTCCTTTCTTTCTTTCTTTCTCCACACTCTGTAAATCCTTACACAGAATAAGTATATTATTGTCTTGTTTTTTCTTTCATACCCTAATCTAATTTTGTACTTATCTGCACTGATGTCACTTTAACCTCTGTACCACAACTCAACATTGAATTATATCAGTGTTATTCACTGAAGTTAAGGGCAAAGTAGCCAAATTGGTACCATAGACAACTATTTCCAGTTCAGCTATTTTTAGCTTAAATTTGATGTTCACTTTGAATTCTCACTTTGGCGAATAACCCTGTGTCATTTTTCTCAGAAATGTATTATTAGGCTTAAAGGGAAACCCCTTCAGTTACTTACCAGAGGGAGCAACATGTCCCACGTCGCTGCTTCTTCCTCCGCCGCCGCTCCTCCCAGTGATTGCGTCGGCCGGTGGGCGAGACTGATCCCTCCCACCGGCCAGGGAGACCTAATGCGCATGCACGGCAATGCTGCGCATGCACATTAGAGCTCCCCATAGGAAAGCATTGAAAATGCTTTTCAATGCTTTCCTATGGGGAAATGATCAACGCTGGAGGTCCTCACACAGCGTGAGGACTTCCAGCAACGCTCTAGCACAGGTTTTCTGACAGCCACTAGAGGTGGAGTTAACCCTGCAATGTAATTATTGCTGTTTATAAAAAACTGCAATAATTACACTTGCAGGGTTAAGAGTAGTGGGAGATGGGAGATGGCACCCAGACCACTCCAATGGGCAGAAGTGATCTAGGTGCCTGGAGTGTCCCTTTAAGAAAGGGAGTTTCTCCCGATAGTTTGTTGTTCCAAAATTATGTAAAAAAAAAAAAAAGTTATTACAAAATACTATTTCATAGTCAAATGTATAAAGTCCAAATGAGTTCACTCAAGCCAGAATTGTGCTTGAAAAATGTAGTTACTGCATTATTTATATGTTAAGCAGAAAGGTGCAAGTACATCAATGTACTCACAGGGACTTTCATCTGCATGGCATAAGAGGTGAATTCAAACAATATATAGGTGGAGAAAAATGTTAGAGAGGGTAAGACGATAAAAAGTGAGGTAAAGACTTGGGTGACATTAGATAGCCAGACAACATAATACCTAGAAGGGGAAGGAGCAGTATTAAAGGGACGCTATAGTCACTAAAACAACTTTAGATTAATAAAGCCTTTTTGGTGTATAGATCATGCTCCTGCAGTCTCACTGTACAATTGTTTGACATTTATTAGTTACGCAAATCATTTTTGTTTCTGTGTATGCAGCCTTGGCGGATCCAGAACCTAATCTCGTGAGGGACACTGGTAGATTATTTAAAGGAACAGTACAGGCACAATAACCACTACAGCCCTCTGTAGTAGTTATGGTGCTAGACGTGCCATGGTGCCCTCCCAGAGTAAGTAGTCAAACTGTTTAAGAACAGTTTGACAACTTATCTGGGGTCTTCCGGTATTGGGCCTGTTGTAGGAGATATGGGCAGTATTGGGAGCTTAGGAGGTGTAGTGTAGTGAGGGCTGCAGTGTGTATGTTTGAGGGGTGTGTGTGTGTGTGGGAGAGAGCGGTGCAGGGTGTGTGGTGTAAGGCGTGCAGGGTGTGTGGGATTGTGGGGAGGTGCAGGGTGTGTGTGTGGGAGAGAGCGGTGCAGGGTGTGTGTGTGTGTGTAAGGCGTGCAGGGTGTGTGGGATTGTGGGGGGTGCAGTGTGTGTGGTGTGCAGTGTGTGTGGGGTGCAGTGTGTGTGTGGGGTGTAGTGTGTGATTGTTAGGGGTGCAGTGTGTGTGATAGTGAGGGGTACAGTGTGTGATTGTGAGGGGTGCAGTGTGTGTGATTGTGAGGGGTGCAGTGTGTGTGGTTGTGAGGGATGCAGTGTGTGAGGTATGCAGTGTGTGACTATGGGGTGCAGTGTTTGTGAGGGGTGCAGTGTGTGATTGTGAGGGGTGCAGGGTGTGTGAGTGGTGCAGTGTGTGATTGTGAGGGGTACAGTGTGTGATTGTGAGGGGTGCAGTGTGTGTGATTGTGAGGGGTACAGTGTGTGAGGTATACAATGTGTGGGGGCACAGTGTTATACTGAGGGGTGCAGTGTGTGTGATTGTGAGGGGGTGCAGTGTGTTTGGTTGTGAGGGGTGCAGTGTGTGTGATTGTGAGGGGTGCAGGGTGTGTGATTGTGAGTGGTGCAGTGTTTGTGAGGGGTACAGTGTGTGATTGTGAGGGGTGCAGTGTGTGTGTGCTTGTGAGGGGTGCAGTGTGTGAGTGTGAGGGGTACAGTGTGTGAGGTATACAGTGTGTGACTGAGGGGTGCAGTGTGTGATTGTGAGGGGGTGCAGTGTGTGGTTGTGGGGGGGGGCGCAGTGTGTGGTTGTGAGGGGTGCAGTGTGTATTTTTGTGAGGCATGCAGTGTGTGTGATTGTGAGGGATGCAGTGTGTGAGGGGTACAGTGTGTGAGGGATACAGTGTGTGGGGGCGCAGTGTGTGACTGAGGGGTGCAGTGTGTGATTGTGAGCGGGTGCAGTGTGTGTGGTTGTGAGGGGTGCAGTGTGTGTAGTGTGAGAGACACTTTCAAGTTTAGGATTGGGGCTGAGGGGAGCATCTTTTACATTTTATTATTATTATATATATATAAAAAAATTATATTTGGTCCCCCCCCCCCCTGGATCTGCCACTGACACTATAGTGTACCTTTAAGGACTCCCTATTAAAGTGAGCTGAAATAAAAACTGTGATCTGCCATATACAGCAAAACCATAGCCATAGGGAAAGAACCAGACCGGAGAGACAGGTTTGCTGATACATGTAAACTAAACACTGTGCAAAAAAAAAAGTTACTTTGAAGCATGTCAATAAATGGCAACCACATCGTGTTGAAATCTGTAGCTCCTGGCAGTGTAAGTACACAATGCTTAGCTAAAGAAACCCAATATAAAAAGAAATAATATACATAAACTAGAAATTAAAGCAGCCTGTGCTAGACGTTTGACAAAGCAGGAAATCAAAGTTTAGACTCCTATAGGGTTATTCATTAAACCCGATGGATGGACAAAATCACCGAATTCCAACTACAACAGCAATTCTCATGTTTACTAAAGCCAAATTCAGTCAAGCCCAAATACTAGAAAGACTTCATGCCAGGGGAATGGGTCCTGTAAAATTATGAGGGAACATAGTCCCCCTATTTTCCCACGCCTATGGGCATTGGGACTTTAAGTTAAAGAATGGTCAGCAGTTGGGAGCTATTAAATTTAAAAACAGAAGACATCTTTATATCGCCACATGCTCCCACTGCTAGTTAGTGGGTAGCGGCTACTTATTTTGTCCAGGGACCTAATGAGCCTAGCCCAGGCGACAACCATTAGCTGCTGCTAGGGGCTATTATAATTTTAAGGGGGAACCTAATGCCCTCACCCCATTCCCCAACCATTGCAGGCAGGTTGGTAGCTGTAATAATATATGGAGTGAATCTAATGGCTGGGGATTGAGGGGATTCTATGTTCCCCCTGGAATAAATTTAGCAACCCCCAACTGCAGGGTGGGCATTAGTATGTGGGCAATTATCTGTCCAACCCCACATTATTTATTGTAATATCTCTGACTGATGCCCACAAGGTAGGGGCATGGGGGAATAAACCCCCTGCTATTTTACAGGCCCAATCCCTATTGGATGGGACCTTTCTAGAAACTGGGCAGCAACGACAGTCACTAGTTTATTGACCCCCGCTTTTTGATTGATTCATCTAAAAAAACAAAACACTTTTTTTGTTGCTGCTTGCTAGGGTTTTTAACTGTTAGCCTGTAGCGTGCAAAACTACTGGATTTGATGCATTCTTTGTGTACCTGAATTGCAATATTTAAACACTGTTGAATACTTTGAACAAATTCCTGATTTTACAGTCTCAACGGTCCTGTTCGCAGCCACGTGGTTTTGCCCCATTCAGGCCCACAAGGCCATTCAGACTTCAGTCAATAACCCTGTCAGTCTGGCCAAACTGAGCTAGCCCAAATGGACTACTATGCTGAATGTAGATTTCAGGATGGCACTTGAATAAAATAAAAATAAAAAACAAAAATTCAAGGTTGCAAAATGTTAAAAGCTAACACATCTATGCCATACTAAATCATAACCATCTAATATATAGCGAATCACTTCAATAATTATCTTTTATCAAGAAAGCAATGACGGTTTGTTACCAGTTTTTTTTATCCCCTTTGGACTGAAGATGTGAAGTTTATAGATCAAGTATGCCACTAATGTCAACAGTTCCTTTGCATGGCCACCACCTCTAAGCAATATAGAGATATGATTAATGCCCATGGATTTTTGGGAGGGTAGGGATTTGCATGCCTCAAGAAAATGTCTTACTACAATTACACGATTATACTGCATATAGAGGATCTCTGTCACCAAATACACCCTCATAGATTGTTATTACTGTTACCAATGTATACCAATCCACGTGGGCACTGGATCTGATATACCACAGCTATTCAATTAAGGTTTTTATTTTAAGCTATGTTCAATGTATGAGCAATAATGTTTATCTAAGTCAATAACGTTTTAAGGTACACTCTACGCACCATAACCACTAGAGTTCACTAGAGTCTGAATCTTTACATTTCGTTTTCTAACGTTCATTAATTAATTTATTATTACGCGGATGAGTAGCAATTGCTCCAATCAACATCGGATCTGCATGAGAATCTACCAATTTGTAGATTCTTAAAAATTGAGAAAAGGAATTAGTAATGAGGAGTCTATCAGACACAGAAGGCTATAGAAATATAGAAGGCACATTAAAATCAGGAATGCTCCATTACCCTAGAGAGGGTGTAAGTTGTAAAATTGAGAGTACCACAGGTTCCCAGTACTAGGAAGTTTAAGAGTGTGACAGTAGTCACCATCACTGGGAACAGAAGGACACTTTACAAAGGTTCCTAAGTTGTTCCTATGTCCAAGTCACCCTGTGCCCATTGTAGGTGCAGTGTGTTTATATATTGATTTTCAATGCTTTCCTATGGAGAGATCTAATGCGCGTGCGCAGCATGTGCATAAGGTCTCCCCCGCCGGCGGCCGCGCATGCGCAATCGGTCTCCCCCGTTGGATGACGTCAATGGGGGAGGAGCATGGGCGGAGGTCTCAGGTATGTCACTGAAGGGGTTCTAACCCCTTCAGCAACATGGGATGGGGGTGGGAGGGAGAGGGGACCTGCTGTGCCAGGAAAATAATTTGTTTTCCTGGCACTGGAGTGTCTCTTTAATTTAAATGATTCCCTAGTGGTCTACTGGTGCACACCAGCAGTAGGTGCCTTAGATCATATCCTCTCCCTTGTGGTTAGTTAGTGAGTCAGAGCACAGGCTCAGAGATTCTCCGCCTGCTCTCTAACAACATTGAAAGTCGGAGCCATAAGTGGGTATGGCAAAGAGCTACTGATTAGCATAACATTAATATCTGTTATAAAACCAGGAAAAGGTGGGCATGGATGGTGAGCTGGTTCGGGGGTGCAATGGGCCATTTGACTGGATTTGCCCCCCAGGTCTGAGGCTGCCAGCCCTCCCCTGGCTGGGGGGCAAGGAGGCAATTGCCCCAGGCCGCCCTAAATAATTAAAAAAACGGCCGCTGCAGGGCCGGTCCCTGGCGCCAGGAGGAGGGGGGTGCCGCGCGGAGCAGGGCCACCTAGGGTGCCCCGGTAGCAAGGCAGAGTAGGCACCTGCTTGTCCCAGATGGCAGGTGCCTGCCCTGCAGGATTATACTAGCCGGCGTGAGGAAGGAGGCAGGCAGCGGCGAGGGAGCACTGCCTCAACGGGGGAGCCGGGAGCCGGAATATGATGTCATTCCGGCCACGTATCACTAAACAGCACTCTAGGGAGCAGAGAGGAGCAGGAAGTCACTGGACCCTGGGGAAAGGACCCAGAGGACTAAAGGTAGGAGCAACAAGGAATTTGTGAGTGTTTGTGTGTGTGTCTGGAAGTGTGTGTGTGTCTGGAGGTGTGTGTGTGTGTGTGTCTGGAAGTGTGTGTGTGTGTGTGTGTGGAAGTGTAAGTGTGTATTTGTGTCTGGAAGTGTAAGTGTGTGTGTGTCTGGAAGTGTAAGTGTCTGTGTGTGTCTGGAAGTGTGTGTGTGTGTGTGTGTGTCTGGAAGTGTGTGTGTGTGTGTGTCTGGAAGTGAGTGTGTGTCTGGAAGTGAGTGTGAGTGTGTGTCTAGAAGTGAGTGTGTGTCTGGAAGTGAGTGTGTATGTGTGTGTGTGTGCGAGTGTGTGTCTGGAAGTGTGTGTGTGTGTGTGTATGTGTCTGCCTGTCAGTGAGTGTTTGTCTGTCAGGGTTTGTGTGTGTGTGTGCTATTGAGAGTGAGTGCCAGTGTGTCTGTCAGCAGAGCCAGCCTTTGAGGTGTGCAAGCTGTGGGGTCACGTAGGGTGCCATGACAACAGAGGTGCCCGGTGGCCAACACAGCTCACAAGTTTGGGACACCAGCACATTAAAGGGACACTCCAGGCACCCAGACCACTTCTGCCCATTGGAGTGGTCTGGGTGCCAACTCCCACTACCCTAAACCCTGCAACTGTAAATATTGCAGTTTTCATAAACTGCAATAATTACATTGCAGGGTTAACTCCTCCTCTAGTGGCTGTCTACTAGACAGCCACTAGAGGGGCACTTCCTGGTTTATAGCACAGGTTTTCTGTGCTATAGCGTCGCTGGACGTCCTCCAGTGAGGACCTCCAGTGTCGCTAAAACCCCACATAGGAAAGCATTGAAAGCATTTTCAATGCTTTCCTATGGAGAGATCTAATGCGCGTGCGCAGCATGTGCATTAGGTCTCCCCCGCCGGCGGCCGCGCATGCGCAATCCGTCTCCCCCGCCGGATGACGTCAACGGGGGAGGAGCGTGGGCGGAGGTCTCAGGTTCTAACCCCTTCAGCAACATGGGATGGGGGGTGGGAGGGAGAGGGGACCTGCTGTGCCAGGAAAATAATTTGTTTTCCTGGCACTGGAGTGTCCCTTTAATTTAAATGATTCCCTAGTGGTCTACTGGTGCACACCAGCAGTAGGTGCCTTTGATATTCTCTCCCTTGTGGTTAGTTAGTGAGTCAGAGCACAGGATCAGAGATTCTCTGCCTGCTCTCTAACAACATTGAAAGTCGGAGCCACAAAGGAGTAGGTATGGCAAAGAGCTACTGATTAGCATAACATCAATATCCATTATAAAACCAGGAAAAGGTGGGCATGGATGGTGAGCTGGTCCGGGGGTGCAATGGACCACTCAACTGGATTTGCCCCCCAGGTCTGAGGCTGCCAGCCCTCCCCTGCTTCTTCCCATAGTGTTCTCCCCCCTACCCTTGTCCCATAGAGATCTTTCTCCCCCTTCCCTCCCATAGTGGCCCTTAGTGCCCCTCTCTTATCCTCTTGGTCCCCGGTAGGTTTACTTACCTGTATTGTAGCGTTTGGATCGGCAGAACAGCGCACACCTGTGACGATACCTTACCTGTGTCCGCCGATCCCGCGAGGCACGGCGGTTTCCCCGGCTGCTTCCGGGGGGCGGCGCAGCCTCTCAGACGCTGCCCGCTCGCGGCAAAGTCAGTTTTATGACACGGCGCATGCGCGACGACGTCATAATGATTTTGCCGCGAAAGTTCAAACGCGGTCACGCTCCCGAACCTTTTGGAGGCGTGGCTTTAAAGTGACACACACATTAGTATAAAAGGGCATCCCTGTCCACCCCTCAGTGCCCTAGTGTGGTTCTTGATTGTTCCCCTAGTGCTCTTATACTGTATTACCTGTTTTTCTGGTATTTTGACCCTTGGCTTCCGTTCTGACTATTCTCCTATCTGGCTCCCCGACTTTTGGCTTGGCTTTCTCGTTTATCCCGATTTCCGTACTCCCTTGATCCTCGGCTTTTTCTTGACTATTCTCTGACGTTAAGTCCGGCCACCCTAAGGTCCGGTATACGTCCCTTTCTGGGTTACCATCTGTGTGAAGGGGTCACTGTCGTGACATTACACTAGGGCCATGGATCCTGCAGGTGCTAATCCTCATGGCCCGGTTCCTGATAATCGGTTTGAGGAACTGGACCATCGTATGGACCAGTTTGCTGTAGCTGTTCAGACCTTGTTAGCTCGGACTGCACATCTACAGCCAGAGGACCATATCCCGGGTCATAGACCCCAGGAACCTCATTTGGAGATGGCGGCAGGGGGGGCTTCTGCCCATGCCACATCCCCTCTCCGTTATGGAGGTGATCCCAAGGGTTGTCGGGGTTTCCTCAATCAAATTAGTATTAACTTTGAACTTCATCCTAGGGCGTATCCTACCGATAGAGCAAAGATTGTTTATATTATAACGTTGTTAGTCGATAGAGCACTAGTTTGGGCCAATCCATTGTGGGAAAACGACAATCCCATAGTTATCAACTACGCAGAGTTTGTCGCAGCCTTTAGGAGAACATTTGATCCCCCTGGAAGACGTACTAATGCTGCTAAAACCCTATTACGAATGAGACAAGGGTCTCGTTCCCTGGTGGACTATGCCCTAGAATTACGCACTCATGCTGCAGAGGTCAGATGGAATGAGCAGGCCTTTGTAGATGTGTTCATGAATGGACTTTCTGACAAACTTTTAGACGAGGTAGCCACCCGAGACCTCCCTAATGTGTTGGAGGAATTAATTACATATCTAGCACATATAGACGAACGTCTCCGACATAGACAAAACACCAGGGATAGACCTAGGCGTGTGCCGGAACGCCTGGCTTTAACGTTTCCTTCGTCTGAGGAAACCACTGTCGCTCCAGCAGAACCCATGCAAT